CTGTGACATACTCAAGACTCTTAATAAAAATAGCAAAACAGGATCAAATAGGCTCATACAAATTTCAGCACAATGAATAGCTTCAGGTTTTACTTATGTGCTGTTAAATTCCAGCTAATGCAGATTTTAAAATGATAATGCTATTTTTTATCCCCCTTCTCTCTCACTTGCTAATATTTAGTAATTTATTTATTTTGTTCATAATGTTGGTTGCATGTTGTGCTACAGACTGGTAAGCAATTACCAAAAGTCTCACTAGTTGAAAGACACACAAACAAAAATATTTTGGATGTGGCAGAGCAAGATAAAAGACTGAGATAACAATATGAACAGGAAAATAAGGTTCTGCAAGAGCATGCAATCTCTCTGCTTTATAGCATCTGTGCTCCTGAGCCCAATAATACAAAGGTTCTGAAAATTTTCTAAGAGAAAGCTAAGGGCCATGTTAAACACCCAAAAAAGTACTTTTTTTTTTTTCCAGAAAGTATAAGGGATTTCCACATTTCTACAGTATCTTAGGAAAAATGGTTGCCCTGTATTTCATAATAGAAAACTCAGTTTTGTTCAAGGTAGTCAGAAACTAATTGTGCCAGTACTGGAAGATGTCACAGTGATGGCACACTTGTGGTCTTCGGGAGCTTTTAAAGTAGTGTCATTTAGCATCCAAGTTCTATCTGTGGTTTCCAAAGGAATGTTTTGGGCAATTTTTCAACTGTTTCAAGAAGCCTCCTCTCACATACCATACAAAGCTAGTCCATCACCACTTCTACTGAGTATTTTCATAGGGCCATGTGGTGAGTTAATGAGGAGAAACAGATTCTGCTCCTATCAGCACAAAAACGTTTTCTGTTTCATCTGATTTGAATTGTGTGTGTGTCAGAAACATATCAAACGTATGCCAAAGGATTCAAAAGAGCTCTTTCGGAGAAGGGCTACCTGGCTGACCTTCTACCCAGGTAATGATTCAAGAAAATGAAAAGCACTGGTAATGTTTGTTTGGTATCTCACCAAAGAGAAGGGAAAGCATTGTATGCAACTATGGATCTTGGATCTATTGTAACAGTTCAGGACACTCCAAGAATAGCTGTAGCGAAAATACTTTTACCCATCTGTGCTTGACAAAAAGAGGATATAACTTTTCTTTCGGATATAGATCAGATTACACTTGCCTGTAACATTTTCACCTAAAAGCTAGAATGTTGTAATGCACTTTACATGGAGGGAATTTGCAGACCATATGGAAACTGGAGTTAGTGAAAACATATCTGTGCAAGTGTTAAATGGAACCCCACAAAGAGCATTGCTAGGCTTAAATATGTGACCTACACATATTGCATGTTTGTTTCCAATTAGATTCTATACGGACAATTTTAACCTTTGCAACTTCTGTTCTCTGAGGCATTGAAAGAACCTCAGCTGATGAACCACAGTAGTGTTGGGCTGGTTTTGTTATAACCCGTTTGAAACTATCTGCATTCGATTGCAAACCAGTCCTTTCAAACTTATCATGCAGGACACTTATTCTGGGAAGCTGAAATATTTGGAATACAGTGAGATACCTTTGGAGAAAGAACTAGTTGTTGAAAAAGGGGCAAAAATGAATGCTATTTGAATAGGTAAACAGATGAAGATTTTTATGAATAAATATGTTCTGTAATGTCAGATTACTACTTGATAGAGTTCCTCTGCTACCAGTGACATTTTGGAATTTACATGAACAAGCGTGAAAAATTAACAATTTTGAGTATGAGTGGTTCAAGTTTTCAGTATAGACTGATCAGATTATTGCAGCCAGTTCATTTCAACTCCGCTCAAAAGTTAAGAAGCCACTGCTCAGGTGTTAAATATAATTTCCTTAAAGAATAAATCAGCCAGTCTTCCATGAGACAAAGTGATGATGCAAGCTAAAGGAAAATGAAATGGCACAAAAATTTTCAGTTTAAAAACATTTTATCTACTTTCCAGTTCAATGTACTGGTGGGAAATGTAGGATTATCTGTTTTTAATGCCAAAAACTGTGTCATCCTCATGTTTAAGATTTTTCACCAAAAGTTTGAGACAGCTCAAGTACTACAAAAAGGTGAAATCATAACTAAGTTGTATACACATTTCCAAATATGTATGAACACCACCTATCTCAAAGCATCACATATTCTGGAAAGTTTGCATAATTAACCTGTTTTAGAATTATTTAAATTATTATTTTTTTTCTTTTCCCTTTTCCTTTGTGCACTCTCTTCCGTATGCAAGGCCTCAGCTACAAAACCATGGATATTCTTACCAAGTCTGAAATGATTTAGTAATTCTTACACATGCACATGCACAAAAGCACTAGAGAAACCTCCAGGAAAAAAAAGCACATGCCATCAAGGATGCCTGAAAGCATTCAGATTTTAGTAAAATCTGATAGGGGAAAGGCTTCATACCATATGGAAGTTTTGAAAGACAGCAAGAGGAGGGAAGCTATTTTTATGTTTCAAGCTTGAATAATCAGAAGAAAAGAACACGCTTTACAGAATGCAACAGATACTTTTGTGGTGATCAATTTGAAAAACAGACAGCACCTTCGGACTTATTAAATAAAGTTTATTTGCTCCTGTTCAATTGTTATAACTTAAACCTTTACACATAAAGCAACAAATTAAACTATTTCATACAAAACTGTCAAGCTAATTACCGCTTGCCAGTAAAAATCAAGTTTAAATTATCAAAGCCCCACAGGAGTTCTATCTACTCACAATCATGCCACTAAACCCCTCTGTTTTGCAGAGTCATTACATGGAGAGCCCTTTCAAGCACTTCAAGGACCACCATTGGCTTTCAGTAAACAATGGCAGGAAATTTATCAAAGCAAATCAGGTAATGGACTAGGAGAGAATTTAGAATTCTCTTTTAAAGGGAACTTAACTAGGCAAAACTTCAGTTCAGTTAAGATCAAGGGTCTCATACAGGCAATGAAGAAAGAAAAGATGAGAAGTACACAATGACTATAAAAGCATCTGAGTTCTCTGTTAAAAAGGAAAAAAAGCCCAATTATTAGAGGGAGCAAACAGAAATTCACATCCTGAGGCATGCAGTGTAAAAATCTAAGATGCGTTTGGATTTTTTTCTTTACAGATTGGTATTTCAATATCTTGGGAATAAAGGACTAGTTCTTAGAAATCAGGAATGAGACAGCAACTGAGAAGAAGGTTAGACATAACATTATGGAAAGCGGATGGGAAGGACAGTACTTATTTTGGAACTCGGTGTTTGATTTGTAAACATTGATTCCTGAGACTGAATTGGATGGCTGAGTCAGAAGGGACAAAGTTTGTAACAGCAGTCTAAGCGGGCACCAGCAGAATGCTACAGCCAACAAAACCATCTCTGTCTGGACAGGCAATGAGATCAACTCATACTGCCATATAGTCACGAGGTGGCCTCTAGCTTTTCACTCTTTGTCATATGCTGGGAACTGTTGGAGTCTTGTTCACACCATGGATCTGACCAAAAGATGAAGTCAGAACTGCATCGGTGAAGAAATTTTTTAATCTATAAAAGAGCTTGAGTTAAACCAAGACAATTTTATTTGTATTGTATAAAAACTATAGTGAAATTAATCAAACAGAAGAGGATAACACTGCTACAAATTTTGCAATCAACTTCATGGAAATAAAAGACTTCAGAATGGAATCCATCAAATATCTCACAGCTGTCTCAATGTTCTCAATAAGCATCTCAGACCATTAACTTCAGGTGTCATTAAATGAGAACTGCAACATATAGCTATAAAATAAACCCTTGAAACTTCTGAGAATTACTAAACTACTATACAATTCCTTGGTATTATTAAATTATAATATTCTTAAACAATAATTAGACAAAAAAGGAAAAGGGTATTTATAAGATTTCCGTTACAAGGTGCAAATATTTTTAGCATTAAGAATAAAAGAGGGTCAATGTTGTGGGGAATAATAACTGAGACCATAGAAAGACTGTACACTAATATTTAGATAAAACACATGTATAATAGGAGGAGTTTTGGAATTTGAACACAAAGGTCTATTTTTTCTGCATAGACCTTCACATGTTATGAGCTTTGCCTTAATGAGACTTTTTCATAGAATCATAGAATTGTTTAGGTTGGAAAAGACCTTTGAGAGATCGAGTCCAACCGTAAACTTCTCACTAAATAGCAACATTGAGTGTAAGAACAATGCTGGAAGGAAAAAGTTTACTTGACAGAATACGTTCTGCTGGATATATATGATGTGGAATCAGTGCATGTTCATGCAAATTCCGCCATCACTATTTTAGCTGCATTAGCACCGATTCATTACTTTCTGCACGAGCTTGCCGCGTTTGCACTTTCTGCATAATTTCTGCATTACTTATCACCTCACTTATAAGGGCTCATTATTTTCCCCAAATTTTGTAACTAGGAAATAGTTAAGACAATGCATAAACCCCCACAAAATTCCCTGTAAGTGTTCAAGGATACTTTTCTTTAAAAAATCATCACTTTTTATTCTCTAGGGATAACTATTTATCTGCCTGTGTGAATCTAACCGACCCACCTGAACAAATAGTGTCTCTACCAAAACTAGATGCATGTATCAATAATGTTGGAGCAGAGTCTTCAATTTGCTTTCTTCCACAGGAATTGATTACACTTTTAAATTGTATTTTTCACTAGTTTCTCAAATTCAGGCTGAAAGACTTATACTAATATAATTATTCGGAGAAGGAAAAAGCAAATTACAGAGAGGTTCTTGCATTACAAGATGACAAGATGCATCTTTACACAGGATCTCACTTAGGGGGGAAAAAGGGTACAAAAGCTATCACTTTTAAATTCTTTAAACAAAGTTAAATGCAAGGAAGTGAAATCACAACACATCAACAACTGATTAATTTATTTACCAAAAATAGTTATATGAAGTCTTGTGAAAATGAAACATTGTTCATATCAAATGACAAATAGCTAAACCAATATAATTTTACAACAGAAACAGTACCTTCAATCAACAGCTCTTGTCCATGACTGCCCAACAATGTTCGGGATAGGAAAGGGGCAAAGTCAACAAAAATTTCTCGCAGGAGAGGGGCCACCTTTTCTAAAGCTCTTTCAAGCTTTGCAGTGATACTGTGGAAAAACAGAGACCATAATTGGAACACTTCACAACAGAAGTTAAATAATGTGAAATAATACCTGTTTTATTTAAAAGTTGCTGTAAGCTTCTTTAGAAAAGAAGATGATCAAAATTTGAATAAACTTTACAGTGTTTAAATGGCTTTAAGTAAATGCAAATGTCATGGCAGAGTCAGCAGTGTGGCATGAATTCTACAGCATTTACAGAACATTCCAAACCAAGTAAAATTCTTATTCTCATTTTCAAACATGATAAGAAGAATGTCAGATATTCAAGTGCAAGTCTATGTCACCTATCTCAGCTTATACCCATCTCATCATTTCATATACATTTGAAAACTTGAAAAGGGAGGTTTTTATTCACCCAAGGCAATCACAAGTAACTTGCTTTTCAAATAACAACATCTGGCAATGCAAGGCTAGACAAGGGAGCGTATGAAGAAGCGTTCTAGCCCAGGTAGCAAGAAAACCAATATTCTTTTCTTCAACTTTGAGCGAACGTGATCCCAGGTAAATCACTTTGCCTTTGCATTTATACTTCTCTGCCTGCTGAGACTATACATTCTTTGAAGCATGTTCTTTCATTTCTACATGTACAATGAGAATAGGTGTTTGACTTCTGTTTGCTTCTCAAACCCCAGAAATAATATTCCTTTGTCTGAGTATACCAACCTAGCAATAGTATGCAAATGTCAGCAGTGTGCTACGGATTGTACCCCTTCAGAGTCCCTCTTCCCTTTTAAAACGTGATGGGGTGTAACACTTATGCCCTCTGAAACTCTTAGCCAAGATTAAAAACCTGCTGTGTTATCTCAAAGAAGTGAATTATTGCTTAAAAATAAAAAGGAAATTACATGCATATTCTGGTCTACCAAGAATTTTTGCTGTTCTTTTTCAGACAGCTGATGGCTGAAGGTTTGGGTTTTTTTGTGCTTAAATTACAGCACCAGAATATTATTGACATTTAAAAGTGAAATTAGGCAGAAGTTACATTTATTGACAGAACGTAAGAAAATGAACACTGACATTTAAATTTTATACTGTATCTACTATCTATAAGCACTAAATAAATGTGTTTTTTTTAATTCAAATCACATGAAGATCCCTACATTTAAAAATAAAGCTGACATTATAAACAAATTGGCAGTTCTCCTTCATTAGCTTAAAATTATTTTACTGAATTCCTATAGTTTATTTTCTTTCAATGTGTTTCTTTGCCATTTCAAATTCAGATATTGATTTTCTAATATTCTAAAGGAAGCATTCATATCACCAAACCTTGTTTTAGACAATTAGTTGAAGTGAATTTTACTATGCTAAAGCCTCTATTGACTATATTTGAAACACATATGACTATTTCAGTTTTTAATTTGCAACAAGAATCTACCCCAAGCTTTTTCTGCTAGAGATAAAAAGCCTACTTGATTAATCTAGACTTCTCTAAGCCATGTTTTAAAATATGCTTCAACTGTAAATTGGTTTAAAAGGCCTAATTTTAGCATCCATTTAACTCCGAAAACTTTACGTACAATTGAAAAAATTTAAAGTTCAAAAGTTTTTTAATTAAGATAAATTTTTGTTTAAGAATCAAGTAATACAGGAGGTGTGGATGTGCTATTAACCTACACCTTGGATGAGCTATTAATAAACAACTTGTTATCAAATGGGTAGCTGATGGATCTTGTATATTATAGATCCATTCACGGGCAATTGGGAATAGCATTCCGTGAAAATGTGAGATCAAAGTTTAGCACTGTTTAAAAAACCATATCAAAGGACAGAAATTAATATTTAAGTAGGGAAAAAAAAACAAAAATAAAATCCTTTTTCCTTCATATAAATCCCTGGTGCGTTTATATGTTGAAGACTGACTGGACTTCTGGTCCTTCAGTTTCAAAAAGAACAAACAGAATTAAGAACAAAAACATACATAGAGACACCCAAAAAATGTTTCAAGGAAGCAGGTAGCCCATCTGCTGCCTTTCCTGTCCACACACATGCACACAGACCAGCAAAAGAGAGAGACTGATCTGATTCTACAGCTGTTTCTAACATCTATTATACTTTATAACGCATCCTGCAGTCATTAGGGAACTCTGTGTGGGGATCAATGTAATCAGTTTTCATTAGTGAACTGAGTCTTCTGTTTGTTTGGGTTTTTTTTGTAAAGAATGAATACTGTGGTTTTTCCTTTCCATTGGTAGACATTAAAGGCAAATAACTCTTAATCGCTTTCAAATTCAAGTTTTTTTATTTTGCATATTAAAGGCAATACATGTCAGAAAACAAATTATATATATTATATATAATTATATACAGTTTCTATATTTATAAAAATGATAAACTGGGACAAGAAAGAGTGAAAGAGCACAGCAGCAACATCAGATTGAAATAAATACTTTTAAAACTGTGAGCAAAAAACCCCAAATAATCCTGTAGACAGTTCTTACTACCTATTGCTTGAATTGGTCACAAGAAAGTGCAGAGAGGTGGGGGCACACGCTGTCCCAGTCCCAAGTATGCTACCTTCCCAACCTCATTCCAAGCCAGACCTCTGCCACCTAATCAAGACTATGAAACATCTACAAGTCCAGGATCCTTCTCCTGCTCACTTCCCTCTGCTCAGTCTACAGACATCAGCAGCTCTTTTGCTATGCAGCTGCTACAAGGGAAGCCTTAGATAAGTTAGCTCTTACTTCCTGCTCTCCAACCCCACAAACTCTGATTTTTAATCTCCTAAAAGCTGAAGCACAATGAATTCAAAGTGAGAAGCCCCAAAACTATCTATTATCAAAATAAAGTTTTAGTTGTTTCTTGGGAGGGAGGCAGAAAAAGGAAAAAAAGCCCAAAAGACATTTCTTGGGTTGATTAGATTTTAAGTTATCTATATTTCTGATACTGTGCTCCACATAAGTTTTTTCAGTCACGAATTTCAGTTACTAGTCCAAGTGCAATTACTTCTGAGTTCAAATTCTGAATTCAAAATTTGAATTCTAGATTTTCCAGCTGAAGTTCTTCTTTGACTCCAGGACAAAAACTTTCAAAATGCTCGTGGAAAAAAAAACAACGTTGCATTGGTTAAAATAACTGAAAACCAAACTGATTAGTGATCCAGGTTAATTTTAACCTACTTCAGCATCTGAATTTAAAAAAAGATTTCACCCTCAGCAAAGCACTGTCCTAAAATACGAAGAAGACAAGAAGCAAAAGAAGTGGTTTAATTACGCTATAATTTTATTAACTTGCCATGTAACGCTGTCAAGCAATAAATAATGCCGTACAAACTGTCATTCTCTCTTTGATCATTTGCACCTTTTTGGAGTGGAGCCGACAGCCCTCAGCCTTTCAGCCTGAGCCCCACACCCATTGCTGGGATTCCACCTGCACCACGCACCTGATTCTTCAGATAGGACCAGCAAAAAAGAGGCTTTTTTTTTTTTTTCACTGTGTTAAATCACTGAAGCACCAGTACTTTTTTTTACAGGTTACCTAGGGGCCTTGCTTTAAGTTTATTTCCTTTCTAGTTCATTAGGGAATGAAATTCTCTTGTTTGTGAGCTTGTACGCTCATGCACGACTAGCTTGGTTACTGTCCCCTTCCATTCTTCTTAAAACCATACCTCAAAGTGGCCGCCAACTAAGGGACACTTAGAAACTCCTTAGTAGTGTATCAGCTTTTTAAGGCAGACCGGTGTGCACCTTAAAAAGGTCAAAAATTTGTCTTTGAAGTGTGCTGCGGCACAACCGAATACCTTTACAAAATAATAACCCATTATACCAAGGTATTTAATGGGAATTTCAGAGGGCATTTTCCTGGCTGTCGGTCAGTGTAAGAGGGGTATTAGCTATCTCATGGCACGTGTCTCTCGCAACACCAACTCAGACCTGGTGCACCACTTCGTTAGCTAGAGGAATACATGTCTGGTTTTGTTCTCTCCAGTTTAAATAGGGCTTTTGTTTGCTCAGAAGTGTTTGTGTCTCTCTTTCCACTTGCTGGTGCTCCGTTGCCAAGTTGTGCTTGCGTTCCAAGTCTCGTTATTGTTATTGAGCAATGTAAAAAGCCAGTCAAGTAAAAAGTTACTGTTAATGAAGTTTTAGTGTCCGGCATGGTTCAAACAAGTTAGACTTTTCAGTCAAGTGTTATTTTAGTACATACATTCTTAGTACCAAAAAATTATGTAAATATACACTGTATTATATGAATAACTACAATAATGCATATGAAATAAGCTAAAATACATTTTAATATATTTTTTCTTTTTACACTTTTTTGTATGTATGAAGTTACGGGAGGAGAAATTAGAATTAATATTAAAAGATAGAACTTGCGTACCTCATGTTTTCAGCTGAATCCTCTGGCATTGGAGCAACAGTTTGGACAGCTGGGAGATTTTTGCTGGTAGCACCATTCACAAAGCTGGATGACGAAGAGGAAGAAGAAGATCCTGAGTCTACTGCACCTGTCCCCCAAAAAATACAGGTCTCAATTCAGTCTGAAGAAATAGAACTTTTAGAGACTTTTAATATAGTCCTTGTCTTATTCATCTACTTTTAAGTAAGGAAATAATGTTATTTATTCTAGAACAAGTAAAAACATTCCAATCGATTACCATATAAATGAATACCTTCTTTTGCTAGTATAACAATAATCTTAAAAAGCTATTGAAAATCAGGCAAAATAAATCCTTACCTCGTTTTCATTATTCCCAAATTATATTCCAAAGATGAAAATATTTTTACATCATCCTGTAAAGCAAGATCTTTCTAAAATAAAGGTATATTTAAGATGAGCTTGAGTGGAGAATAGAAGTTTAACTATTTTTTAAAAAATATATATACACACACACATACTTCTTGGTTGCCCAGTTGCAACTACAGGCAGAAAATAAAATACAAATTAAAAAATTATAGAGAAGATAGAAAATGCATATTCCTTCAGGAAGTGATGGGGGAAAATAGTGTTTGAGGAGTATTAAGGCTCTAATTTTACTTTTTCAGTTTCCTTTCTCAAGTCAAGGAGAACTTTTAGACCTCAAAAGTAGGGAGGGCAGTGGGGGTATCATTTCAATGGGCTGTAAACAGCTGCCCAGACAAAAAAAAGATGCAGACAGAGCATACATTTATACTTTAAGTGATCTGGGTCAGAGCTAAAGGCTAAACTTAGAATCTGAATGCCAATCTATCATGTTTGCTGAAACGGCACTGTGAGTTCAGCCTCTCTGAAGCAAATCAGCAAAGGCACAGAGCAGCTACGAACAGTAGTGAGACCACCGGCATAAATGCTGTCCCCGTTCTGCCGCACAGTCCTTGTGCGACACGTCCCTGCAGGAGATGTAGCACGGGACAGCCCTGCAGCTGCAGCTCAAAGCCTGAGGGACCGCAGTGCCATCGGAGATGAGAGAGACAGGCGAGAGCCATCCAAGTTAGCAACGAGGGGTGGAGAACCCCAGTTGAGAGATAAACAGCATTACTCTGCCAGTTTGTGAAAACGATAACTGGTAACTCCCTGTTGCTGGTCAATTTTAGCAGTTGATACATCACTGTCCTTTGCATTACACAGGTATATAGTGTTTTCCAGTTTCCTGCAAAGCTCTACAAAGTACTTATGGTTTCTTAACTGCTTAAGCAGCCAGCTGACAGTGAAGCAGAGGTCAAATGCTGATAATGGTGAAAAATTCTCCAGCAGCAGGGGTGATTTTTTTTATTATTTATTCTGCCTTTAATTAATTTTTACTGATAAAAAGAATTAAAGTAAAAATCAGAATTTTAACTGGCTCATTTAAGAAAATTTACATTCAAACCAGTATCAAAATTCA